TGTTCTTACCGGAATTTGGTCGTAGGGGTGATCCGTCCAGTAAGATCGGTGAGCCTCCTTTGCTTGATGTATTGGTGCTCCAAGATGGGGGAGGTACCTGCAAAAGAGACTCCGATGCCAAAGTTAGGGTTTGCATGAATAATAGTCTCATATATATAATGCACGTACCTTAGGGTGGTTTAGGTTTGCCTTGGGCCTTGGGCCTGAGATAAGGTATGTTATGATATGATATAGTTGAAGGGCGGATCTGGTCTGGGGCGAGATCCTCGAGTTCAAGTGTGATTTGCTCAAATACCGGGCTGACGTCGCGCAGCGCATGCCCGGGGTTGTTTTGTATTGCTAATCCGGGCTCGGAGCCCGGGTGCGAAGTACGGTTAGTACACTAGCCCCCCGAGCTCTGAAGATCGTAGGTCGAGGAGCTGAGACCGGGCTCGCCAGTGGCTTTTCACATAGGTGTCATGTGTCGCGACTGTTCATTTCTGGAAACGTGCGAGTGACGCACTAAAGGAAATGACGGTTATGCGATGATGGTTTGCAATTAATCTACCGTTAGGCGTGCCCTTTGGTCGACACGTGGCCTGACCGTTTTGAATTTTGGGGAGAGGTTGTTCTTTTTCTTGCGCCTCTTCTCCTTTTCATTTTACTCTTTTTGCGTCCCTCAGCTTCTTGTGCACGCTTCGTCTTCGCTTGTTCTTCGCCTTTGTTTCCTTTGTCTTTCTTGATGGCTGGGGGTCATGGCGTTGATTCTCCTGCCCCTGCTAGGGGTAAAGCACGCGGGAAGGCGGTGACAACCGGAAGGGGCGCCATTGAGGGAAAGGAGGTGCCTCCGCCCGGGGACTTAGAGTTGGGCGTCCCTGGCTACGAATGGGTAAAACGCGAAATGGCCAAGTTTGCAAGCGTTTTTGACTCGAGTTTGGAGGTTGATGCGCTCTGGGAGACGCATAGGATTTGTGACCCTTCTATTTCTCAGATGATCCGATTGGAGCCTTGTTCGGCTAGTGAAGGTGTGTATATGAAGAGGTCCGTTGGTCCTCCTTCCTTTTATGTGTATCAGAGTTTTTTCAGGGACTTGGGTGTCTGCCTTCCTTTCACGCAGTTCGAATGCGACTTTTTGAACTACGTTAATGCGGCCCCAAGTCAGTTGCATCCCAACCTCCGACGGCGTCAGATGTGAGGGGTCCACCCCATGAAACCCAGATGGGTCATGGCACCAGTAGAAGGGAAACCTCGGCAGCCCGCCAAAGTAGAACCCCCCATCCTCCAAAGGGTCGACATCGACAAGAGTAACTCGGAAAAACTCTTGCCTATAAGGGAGATAGAGGTTTAAGGCTCAGGAGAGCTGTGTCCCTTTCTCTGAATGAATGCTCTTATTTAAAGACTGAAAAGCCAACCTCAAGACTCAAAGCAACACATCCTATACATACACGTGTTGCAATCTAATTAAAAGTAAATTACAACTGGCAATCCTTACTTTTGGCTGCCGACATAAACGACAAAATACAACTGGCGAGTCATTACTTTAGACCGCCGACACAAACGACAAACTAAAGAGAGTATCTTTTGGGCGAAGTGGGAGACAAGGGACCCACAACTTCTTACTCAGATACTCTATCTATTTTTCCATAGTACTCCAAAGCTGATCGTTATCTGATTTTTTCTTCAATTCTTCCAAAACTTGGTGAACTGAGCTATTCCATTTTTGTTCACAATAAATTTTCTTTTCTTCAAAATATTTCTTAATAGAAACAACCTTTTCAGATGGTTGCTATAAATCAAGAAAATCAATTTCTTCATCTTCTTCGGGATGTTGAGCCATTTGCATGTCATAACAATCTTCAACATTTTCTTCTTCGTCTTTATCAGATTCGGTGTCTAAAGAAGACAACGCATCTAACAATTTTTTCTTTAACATGGCCTTTTCTCCTTTGGATGAGGGGATCTTTTCTAGCAGTTCGGGGGTGAGAGATGATTCTATCTTTAATTTGGGCTGAACCTTAGGCTGCGAAGATTGAAAGCCCAATGTCTTCCATTTTTGAAAACGATCTTCAACATATTTAACCTCAAATTTTTTCCACCAGAACACTTTTGTTTTTCTACAAATAGTTTTTGGATAGGTTTCTTCCTTGTATTGATGAACTTCAAGAAGATGGGCCATGAGCCAACTAATTCCCATGCTTGAACAAAATTTTATTAATCTTAAATGTGGTAATTCATTTGGAGTAAGAACTTTATATTTTCTGTAGATATTCAAAACATTTTCAGGAATAATGGATTGGACTGGGCTAATTTTAAAGAACCAATCCACAAACCAATTTGGAATTGGGCCGGATAATTTATATATATATATATATATCTTAGGAAGAAAAATGTAACTCATCTAAAGTAAAATTCAAACACAAATTACATACAACTAATCATTATCAATAAAATAGTAGATATATTGATGACGTGGTGACTTGTCATTGGCACAACACAACACAAACAAAAAGGGCATTACATTACACCCTCTGACTCTCTGATCCTAAGAATTAGAACCCGTTTGGATTCGTCTTTGCACCAAAAACAAAGACCCATTCGGCTTCAGCCCAAAAAGCTCATTGGATTTGGGGTTTCCTTAAGCACACCATTATTTCATGAATGAGTGGCAACAGCAATATAAGTGAAAGAATCTCTGTATTGGCATCACACTTAACTAGTTCCAGTCCCATGGCTTCAGAGAAGCAAGCTGCTCTTGCTGCCACTCCCTCTGATGCTGATGCTCCCACCATGTATGCTCCAAAGCTTCCTCCTTTACCACCCCACTCTTCTCTCCTTACTTGCCCTTTTGTTTTGACCACTATTTCTTTGTTTCCTCTTTCATGGGTATCTCCTAGTTTCACAATTTTTTTTTTGCTATCCATCTGTTTGATTTTTTTTAATTATCTATTAGTTTGCAAAAACCCTAAAAAGATTGCATTTTCATGTTGTCAGGGTTAATGGGTATTCAAATTTTCGTGCTTTTTGCTTGTTACAAAGGGGTAGTTTTGTTGGAAAGAGAAGTGTTTTAAGTTGTGCGTGTGTGTGCGGTGCTGCTTTGATGCTTTTGAAGGTGTATGCTTGATTGATGGGAAGACCCATTTCCATTTGAAGTTGGTTGGTTGTTTGTTTAGTTTTACTGGTTTTTGCATTTGATGGAATTTGATCAGTGTTTTTGGTGTGGGTATGGTAGAATTAGTTCACACACCTTCATTTGCAAGAACTAGAGGGTTCTATCTATCTATTGTGTTGGAAGTGGGTGTGGGATGCGAGAAGGTATCTTAGTTTTGAGGCTTTTTGAGTGCCTATCATTGATGTTGTATTCTGTGATGCGCAGATTTGACAAGATCATCAATAAGGAGATTCCTTCTACTGTGGTTTATGAGGATGATAAGGTAATCTAATGCCTAATGTGTTTTGTTCTATGCTTGTAATTATGACTAGTGAGTGCTGTGTTGGTGTTTCCTTGGTGAACTAATGATGGAGAAATTCAGGAATTTGCTATACATAGTGATAACAGTACAAATCTAAATTTTTGTTAAAATTGAGAAATTCCATTGTTGTTTGTTAGCTCTTATTTTTTCAAATTCAAGGGAATTCCTGCCTCTTATAGTTGGTGTTTCTTTGCTGTTTAGTGCCTAGACATATTGAAATGTGAAACGGTTCAATATTTTTCACTGATAAAAGAAATTGGATATTTTCATAACCTCTGAACTGACAGCTTTCACAGAAAACAATCACTTCTAGAGGATTACCCATTCTAAAACATGGTGGCTCTGGGCCTCTAGCTTAAATGTAAAAAAGTTTATTACACTGTTAAATTTATAGAACTACTTGTTTTCCTGCTAACTAATAGTGTCTTTACATGGATATTTCAAATTTGTTATGGTAGTTTTTACGAAATTGAGTTTTGTACTGCAAATTTGTTGTTTTCCATTTTATTTAAACTTCTGCATGAATAACTATTGACCATTGAATTCATGCTAAAATGTTGGGAAATTAAATGTACTTTGCAGAAAAAATTTTCCCCTTCAGAATAATTGTTTTTTAACACCTATTTGTTAGTCATGGTTTCTGGTTTGTTTTTTCCTCTTTCTTCACTTTGTCCTTCCTACTTTCTTCTCCCTTGAAAAAAATTAATTGCATGATAAGCATATTGTTTTCTGACGGTCATTTTAGAAATCAATCAAGCATTTATTTACCAAGTGTCTCTCTCCCTTTGGCTATTTCTGTGTTTGTTGAGATGAAAGCATTGTCATATTTTTTGCCCAGAAACCTCTGCTATATGCTATGGTGATCGATAACAACTATTCCTAACTTTCCAAAATAGAATTGGGGAAATTCTACTAATTTCATCTTTTATGACATGTCAAATATAAATAATTTTTTACTGTCTCTCACATTTTAGCTTTAGAAAGTTCCATTAGCATTCTGGTCATGCTATGTCATTTTATGTAATGGTTTATACTTTATAATAACTATTAATCTTCCTATTGTTTTCTCCCCCTTCTAACAGGTGCTTGCCTTCAGGGATATAACTCCTCAAGCTCCTACACATATTCTTATCATTCCTAAAGTCAAAGATGGGTTAACTGGTCTATCCAAGGTGCTTATTAGTGGCTCTTTCTGTATGCATAGACATATTATGCTCTCTCAAGCTTCAATTTGGAAAACCAATTACATATGTTATAATGCTAAGTATATTTACAAATTAATTATTTATAAAGCACAAAATATATTTTCCTCGTTAAATTCACTTCTAAAAGTAATAATGTAACTTAGCCCATTCTTTTCTGGTATTTGAAAGCAAACAATAAATTCCCTTCAGTATCTACCTCCTGATGCCTTATATGTTCCTCTTTAAATTCACTTCTAAAAGTTTTTTTCACGAAAAAAGGCTGCTCAGTTTGTATTTTCCTGCAATAACAATGATGGTTTGAAATCTTTAGTTTTGGCTATTGTCTTGTAGTTATGGAATCATTACATGTTTTTGGATATGAACCTTTCTGTGTGGAATTGTGGACATATCAAAATTTAGTCAACAACTGTTATTTTGAAATTATTCTGGGTTTATGCTGACACCAAATCTTTGACTGTGGCTGCTACTTCTTCAACTGGATAAAGTCTAGTGTTTCTGTACTATTAGTTGTATAGATTTGAATCTGAAACAGGTTCATGGTGGTTTCTCAGTTTTTAGGACCTACCAATTCAAGTTGAATTATTGTAAATTATTCTTGTCTGGCTTATAGCAATTTGGAGGATACCTACTCAATTAGTTTGTTCATTGTTCCATTTTCATAGCTCTTTCTTATAAGGCGAATGTAGGTCAATAATGAGCTGTAGAATGCATTGCTCAGCACCACGGATGGATGTCTTTGTTTACACATTGCTGTTACCTCCATCTTCGAGTGCCTCTTTCTCTTGTCTGTCTCTTAATTTCTTCTTTATATGGATAACCCTAGCTACTATGCTTCATATTAACAATCCTTGCATATTGTTACCAAGATGTATTTCACCCTTAAAACACTGTTAGTATTAGAAACTTGTTAATCAGTGCTTTTCTACTGTGTCTGTTGTAGCTTGTAGTTGTAGGTATTTAATGTTGATTACTTTTCTTGTATAATGCCATCTTGTTAATGTCCATGATATAACTTGGTATTATCTCTTTTTTGTAAGTGATGGTGTGTGTTAGCAAATACTGGGCAATGAAGTGTGCCTAATGTGGTTGGTTTTACCTAAAACGATGCATGGAGTCTCCAATGAGAAAATTTGATCACATGGGAGATAGTCTGATTAGAATGGCTGGAGAAAAACCTAAAACATAGTTGGAAAATAATAGATTGGATTCGTTGAACGGTTATTTTTTCTTTATTTTTTGTGAAAGAAAAAAATAAGCAAACTGTTCATGAAAGATCTTGAAACCTATTTCCATCATGTTAACAGACATCAGTTATCACACTAAATTTCAATCCTATATATGTATTTTAAATCAATTTACCACTTTTGTAGTGTCTCCACTCTCCATTTCCTGCAAAGTTGAAATATTAGTTTGAAAGGATTGAATATATTTTTAGTCTACTTTTTTCTATTTTCACTTTTAGTCGGTAAACAAGATTTTTACTAGTTTTAGTCCTTGAACTTTTGCCAATTTTTTACTTTGAATTCTAAAACTTTTCTTTTCATTAACATTTGTGATCTCTCGTGTCAAGATTTTTTGTTCATGAAAGAAAATTTTAGAGATTAAAACCATATAAAATTTGTTCAGGGACTAAAAGTAAAATTTGGCAAAAGTTTTAGGACTAAATACATATTTAATCCTAGTTTGGAATTGCAATTATATACTGTTTATTCATTCCTTATTTATGGATCTTTACACAATTCCAAATATATTTCTAAACAAGAGCAAAATAAAAGAACTCTAAACTGCACATTTGTGATGATGACATTCATTATTCTCACTAACACTTGAAAGAGAGACTCCACTTTTTTTTTTGTTTTTTTGACAAATCAAACTGTGACAGAAACTTATATTATTGATTATTCTACAGGCTGAGGAGAGGCACTTTGATATTCTTGGCCGCCTTCTTTACACCGCCAAGGTGGTTGCAAAGCAAGAAGGTCTCGACGATGGCTTCAGGATTGTAATCAACGACGGGCCAAAAGGATGTAAGTGTTCTTCTCTGTGCCAACACATAAGCAGCTTTGATAAATCATCTTCTATTTAAGTTATTGATTCTTGAATGATTCTTCTATATCATAGTATGATTTTGTTAATGACAGGCCAATCAGTTTATCACATTCATGTGCACCTCCTTGGGGGAAGACAGATGAACTGGCCTCCAGGCTAAAATGTGGGGAAGGATTCACAGTGAGCCATGAGAGTAATAATGTGGTTGTTATCTTGTTCAATAATGGTTTTGGACAACTAATAAGTTGCTACATTTGGTGTACTTATTGTGAGTATGTGACATTTGATTAAATTAGATAACCAGTGTTGGATGTGTTTAAACTCTTCTGTTGAATCTAAGATTCATTAGGTCTATCTGAATACAAGTTAAAAGTGATTTTAAGAGATTTTCTACTGAAGATAGAGTTATTTTTTATACAGAAGTTTTCAAACACACTTCTAAGCTAGTATCCCAATAAACTTATAGTGATTTTCTAGATTCTGATTGTGAACTTTGTCTGCAGGAGGATCTTGGATTTGAGATCTCATTAGAAGTCGGATATTAGGCATTTTAACGGTGAATATTTTGTATTAATAATATAATTATCTAAAGATAAAATGATTAAAATTTGATTTTTTTTTAAAAACATTTGAAGCTTTTGAAAGGTATTGACTGCATCTTAACCGGTGATATTTTTTTTAAGATTTAACTAGTGCTTATTAAATGTGTCCAACATACCATTAGCAACAATGGATTTTATTTTTCTTTCAGAAATTAGCCATAAAAGATGAGAGCACCACAACTCTTTATTCACAAGAAGGATTTTCCTTCCTATAATCATTCAATCAATTCCAAGCATACAATTTTTAATTAAACACTATTAGCTTTTTCCTACATTATAATTTTACATGTCTTGTAATTATTAATATCGTTGCTTTGGATACCATATAAAAGTAAGATATAAACATCAACCGAAGAATACTCTGGATGTACCCAAAAATAGTAATAGATATTGAATATCAAAATAAACGAAGAAAAGGACAAAGATAAAAGTATGGTGTGCATAGTATAGTCTAAAATTATAATTTAAAAAGTTTAAAGATAAAATAAAAAGGTTGGTTAAGTGATTAGGTTAATTTAGGTTGAAAAAGACAAGTCTAAAAATAAAATATAATGTATTTTTTTTTTCTGATTTTCAAATTAAAATAAAAGTTTAAATTTACTAGTATTTTTAGTTTCTATAAAATGAATCATTTATTTTGGTCATTAAATTTTTCTTCTATCTTTTATCTCTAAAATTTGAAGTTGTTATTTTTTATCCTATAACATAAACATTTTGATTTTGATATTTATAACATATTTTTCCTTGATCTAAATTTATTAATTTTCACTTATTAATGTTTATTTTAAGATAAATAAATAACATTTATTTTAAATATATTTTTAAAAAAATAGAAGTATCACATATTAGTATAGTACCATAGATACTAATGAGTATCATCTATCATATTCATCCGATCTTTTATCAAAAAACAAAGTAGTTAATGAGTGGTACATAATACTTTCTTTCGTCTTTATTATAAGGAATAATTTATAAGAAATTGTTGGTCTTTTTAATGAAAAACTTTACAATTTTTATAAACATTGATTATATTTTTCATGTTTTACAACTATTAAAAATTGTGAGTGTGTGGTTTTTTCTTGTAATGTCAGAAGGCCCAAAAGTTCAGTATGGGTGATTCAGTAGCCCAGAACGGGCCGTTCCAAACTACTGAATTGACCTATAAAAAGTAGTTGAGAACGGGCATTCCAAACCCTAGAACGGGCCGTTCTGGATGGAGAACGAGCCGTTCTAGAGGGAGTACGAGCCGTTCTGGATGGAGAACGGGCTGTTCTGGATGAGTCCCAGAACGGGCCGTTCCGATTTCAAAACGGGCCGTTCTGCATGTGATTTTTGCACACGATGAAAGAGTGCAGAACGGGCCGTTCCGGATTCAGAACAGGCTGTTCTGGCCACTCCTGAAAATGGTTAAGTTGTTAGCTTAAGTTATTCATATGTTGTGTGTTGATAATATGTGATATGTTGTTAAGGTTGCTATACGTTGTGAAACTAAGTTGTTTCTATGTTGTTTATTGTTGAATTATTAATATGTTGAGATGTATAAGTTGAAGTAGTTTAAAGTTGTAAAAGTTGTTTAAAGTTGTATAAGTTGCCTATTGTTGTAAGATGTCTATAGTTGTATTGTTGTAACCTCTTATGTTTTATTTTCCAACTTTCAAATAGAAGGGTCACAAATCCTATGCGTCTCCCAGAGCGCGTCAACCTCCAAACTCGAGTCAAAAACGCTTGCAAACTTGGCCATTTCGCGTTTTACCCATTCGTAGCCAGGGACGCCCAACTCTAAGTCCCCGGGCGGAGGCACCTCCTTTCCCTCAGTGGCACCCCTTCCGGTAACCACCGCCTTACCGCGTGCTTTGCCCCTAGCAGGGGTAGAAGAACCAGCGCCATGACAACCAGCCATCAAGAAAGACAAAGAAAATAGAGGCGGAGAACAAGCGAAGACGAAGCGTGCACAAGAAGCTGAAGGACGCAAAAAGAGTACAGTGAAAAGGAGAAGAGGCGTGAGAAAAAGAAAAACCTCTCCCCAAAATTCAAAACGGCCAGGCCACGTGTTGACCAAAGGGCACGCCTGACGGTACATTAATTGCAAACCATCATCGCGTAACCGTCATTTCCTTTAGTGCGTCACTCGCACGTTTCCAGAAATGAACAGTCGTGACACATGGCACCTCCTCAGCGTATGTGAAAGGCCACTGGCGAGCCCGGTCTTAGCTCCTCGACCTACGATCTTCAAAGCTCGGGGGGCTAGTGTACTATCTGTACTTCGCATCCGGGCTCCGAGCTCGGATTATCAACAAAGGGCGACCTCAGACAGAAAGTTGGGGACATATGGTGAAGATATATGTCCTATGTTGAGATACATAGTACTAAGGTGATAAGTTGAAAGTTGTTTTAAAGTTGAATCCCTTAGTACTGTGTGGGCGACATGGAAATAGTCGATCCATGTCATGGTTGAATGACCAATTTGAGTAAGGTATCTAGTTAGAGATGTAGTCTTTGACTAGGTACTGGAGGGTGTGTGGTACTTGGAGGACAGTGGGTGGGCTAACTCCATATGTGGATTGGTGATGCTAACCAAGGCCGTGGTAGGCTCATACCCAAACCCTTCTGTCCTGACAGTAGTATTGGACCTCCGAGTCTAAGTGGCACACCTGAGAAATCACCTATTGTTGTCTATACCTGGTTCTCTTCGGAGTTCCTAACGTTGTTCTATACCTGACCTGGTTGAGATAGGTCAAACGTTGGATTCGGTAGGGTTTATGCCACCTAGACTACTCAACCTCAATTGTTGGAGATCTCCGAGTTGAAATGCGTGACGACGCATAAGTTGTTGATGAGTTGATTTGTTGTTGGTATGAGTTGTATATTTGTTGTTGTGTTGTTAAGCTGTGATTGTGTTGTGATGAGTTGTTGATCACTAGGACTAGAGGAAAAGTTTTCGAAGTTGCTCATCCCATTGTGCGGATTGAGATAGTTGTGGTTCTCTGAGAGCCCAATTTGTTTAAAAACCCTCCTTGGAAAGTTGTTCCTTGGAGTGGATGATGTGTTGTTCTCCTCTAGGACTTGGTTGGTCCCGTGTGTGGGCAAGGTCGAGGCACACATGTATGAAGCGACCACGGTATAGGGGTCAGGCCGACCTATATCGATTACAAGCGGCCAATTTGAATAAAGTGTGATATGTTGAAAATGTTGTTCTTCTTAGATGATATTGTGTATTTATTGTTGGTGTTATGTTGCTTTATGTTGCAAGTTGAAAGAAGAATTTTATTGTTGTTTATTATATGTTGATGCTATTCTTTTTATGTTTATTGTTGTGAGCTTACCCTAGCATGTTTTCCCTATGTGGTTGGGACTGCGATGACCATACCTTGGTATGCGAGAAGATCAGGATGGGTGCTCTGCTGGACTGGGTGAGCTTCGAGACTCAGGAGGAGGGCTAACGTTGTAGTTAGTTGATTGGTAGCTTTTGACTACCTAGTTGTTGTATAGGGTATTATTTTTCCTACTTTTAGTTATATATATATATTGAGACTTTTTAGTTGTGTATTCTCATTATATATATAATTGTTCAGTGGTGAGATTTTTTTTATACTTGTTTGGACACTATAAACAGTGTTAGACCTGGCGGGTCGTTACACTTTTATGGTATCAGAGCAGGTCGACCCTAGTGGAAACTCTGTGGGGGTGATCTCATTAGGCTTCTACTGTGTAGTTCTTTGTGTTGTGTTGATAAGTTGTGGAGTGATGTGTTGGTTGTTCATTGGAGTTGGGTGATAGGAAGTATAAGGTAAATTTGATATATTTGCCTTTAGTCGATATTGACATGATCTTAGGGATGGATTGATTGTTTGTCAATCAGATTCTTATAGATTGTGCCAATAAGGTGTTGGTATTACCTCAGTTACAAGATGAGTTGCTGGTGAGAGCTAGCTAAGTTAAAGTTTTGTTGAAGGATGAAGTAGAGTGTTGTATGTCATTTATTGTTGTGGATGTGGAAAACGAGAAGATTATTGGTGAAATTGAAGTGGTAAGGAAAGCTAGATTGTATGTTGTTTGGTTATATGTGATTTTAGGAACTCATATGGAGTAAGAATGTCGAGAATCCATAGTTGGATTGCAGAAATTGTTCATTTGGAGTTTTGATGATTTCAATGCGTTTGAGGAATGAATGTTGAATTTGAGTTGTTTTTGAGTTGTAGAAAGCCTTTGCAATGTTTTCTTTGTTTGCATGTGGTTGGTTTTTCCTGATTTTCAAGTTTGGAGCATGTCGGGCACAAGGTGGGTGCTCTGGGAGTGGAGACTCTTATGAGTTTTTGTTCCAAGGACGCCGAGCGCAATCTAAGCGCGCTAAGCATGAATGAGTTTTAGAACTCTCGGGTTGGGATTAGGCCGGACGCGCTTAGGTTGCAGGGCGTGAACATGTTTATTTATGATAGTTGAAATAATGCTTCGACATGTTTAAAGTTGAAGTTTTAGATCATGCATGTATGATATATGATGTATGTTGAGGTGTGATTCATATGTATGCTTGGTAATGATATATATGAATGTATAAATATGATATGACATGAGTATATGTTTATATGTGTGATTGTTGATCATGATGGTGGGCAGGCCATGTATGATGTGTGATGCATAATTGCATGTGATGCCTTATGACATGAGTCTAGCCTAGGACTTGAGGAGAGGAAAAATATTTTCGAACTGGAAGAGCTCACATAGAGTCTCTTGAGAGTGGTGCTCAGGTAGGCCACTAGGTTGGGTGAGTCTCCTCTAAGTCCTTAGCTAGTG